ACGTGAATCTTATCAATCTTTCTAGAATTCATGAGAAACACAGCACTAATATATAAATGGTTAACAGGCCACATTATGTGTCATTTCTGGATAGTATTTGTTTGTGCATGCCATTTTACATTAACTTTACTTTTCAATATTATTTATTCCTTGCTATGGCAACAAGAGGTTGTGTAAATAACCCAAACATATTGTATTTGTGGGAAATTTATTGTACAGAAACAAAGTCAAAACATTACAGAATTCATTGAAAAAGTGTATTATGTGTATTTTGGAATAAAACTTTGGGACCAAGACAAATCATGGGCTCCACACAAAGTTTGCACTGTTTGTGCCAAAAAGTTGAGACAATGGACTAAAGGTAAGAAAAAGTCTTTGCCTTTTGGAATTCCAATGGTCTGGCATAAGTCTATAAATCATAGAGATGACTGCTATTTCTGCTCATGTAATGTGCAAGGCTACAACACTCAAAATAAACAGTAAATTTCTTATCCAACTCTTCAATCTGTTATAAGACTTCTTGCTCATGGACCTGATGTACCTGTATCTACTCCACCATAGACTCTTAACCATTCCATTATGAGCTGAGTGGAATTCACCTAGCTTGATACCAGGAAAGTATCTATGAGAGTAATTGTACTATAATTTTTGAAAATGTATGCAAATCTTTATAACATTTTGCAGATTATTAGTAAACATTATAAGGATTTCATACACAAAATATCTGGTATTTGAATTCTGTTTTAAGATATTTTTATTAAAGATTTGTTCATGAATTTTTCTTTCAGAATGTTGACTATCCGACGGACAAAGTAATTTTGATTTTAATATTAAAAATACTTTTCTTTATCTGAAATTTGTCAAGTTTCATTTGCATAATATCTATATCCTTCTAGATAATCATCCAACATATTTTTAAATAAAACTTTATATTTAATCTGTTATTTTATCAATTTTAACTCTATATGGCAATACTCGTAACCATCATAACAATTAGGATATAAATCTAAATTACCTTTGTTCTAGAGTAATTGCAAATTGTAATAGGAAACCACAAATGTTTATTCTAAAATAGCTTAAATCTCTTAACAGTATAAAGCAGAAGCTTTTGGTGTGTATACTCCATGAAGGTTTTTATTATTTTTCTTTCATTATCTTACATAACAACTTTCTATTTTTATTATTTTAGTTACTTTTATAATAATAAACAGTGAAAACAAATGAAAAATAAAAAACTTGTGATTAAATATCAAATATTTCTATTTTCAGTAAAGCTTTATATTTTATTTGTTATTTTTGTACTGTAACGTTGTTCTCCAAGTTGTATATTAGTAATCAAAGTATAACAAAAATAGGGGTTGCAAAATAAATATATAGTATTATTAGTAGTAATTACAAAATTAATAGTATTCTGTTCTTTTCAGTACGGACAGTAAATTTCCAACTAAATCTTCTGAGAGTTCCTTCTAATTTTTTACACATATTTCCTATTGTTATTTCACTGTTAGCAGCTGAAGTAGAAACCTGCCAAATATAAAGCAATGAATCGCCATTCTTGTTTAGGTATTAACATACTTTGACACCATCAATATCAAATAAGATCATGTCATGCAATTTCCAGAATATTCCCTGCTTTGGAAACACGGTGGGATACGACATATCAACTTGTTCACAGTATAATAGTTACACCGACAATTGTCTAAAGTATTATAAAATGTACATGACTTTGTAGAAAGTCTGGGCAGAACTAATAAGTCAAAAAGCGGAAGTATCCTACAGAAACTATTCAGATCGCTGTTCAGTAGGACAGAATTTGCCGGCTTCTTTACAATACAGTTGTTGCAAAAAGAATTGTCTAAAGTACTTTATAAAAGTGAGAGAAAATATTTATGATATGGCTCTGTATAAAGTTGTATCCTATCAAATAAACTTGCTAGTCATCTTTCTTAGTGTTCGGGATTTAGCATATGTGTAAATGCTTATGAACATAATGTTTCCTATATTACCATGCTTACACAGTAACCAATAAATTTGTAGTTTCCAGTAATATAAATATGGCTCGTTTTGGTTGGGCTAGTATTCTTGGGCTTAGCCTTCCTCATTGTAACTTTAGAAACAAATTATTCACCTGCAAACAGCAAGTTCAATTGGGTGTTTATGTCAAGATGTTCATTTTCATGTGTTAAGATCAGTTGATCAGTGATAAATTTATTTCTTAGATTTTCACAAGTTACATAAACTTTTCCTGAATTGCCAAGTCTTTAGTTTTGTATAGCTTGTTTTAATTCTACCTTGATGTAAATAAGTAGAAAATAACACAAGTTCTTTCTTTGTAAAATACAGTAACATATTGGCTACCATACATTACATATGTGTGTGTGTGCACATTATATATATACAACTAATGTTTTCAAATAAATACTTAAATGTCAGTTATTTTTCTTCAAACATAAAAAAGTAAATAAAAAATACTTGGAAAACAATATCTACTACTTACAATGCTACAAAGTCCTTATTTGCACTCATGAGCCATACTTGCTAAGCCTTGTCAAAATTCACATGTGGAGATGGAAAAATAAGAATTTTTGTAGACTTTATATAAGCATTTTGGAATACAAAAAATTATAAATTACTATACCAATACCCCAAAAATACACTGTAATTTATCAGGCTTCCTAACTAAACTGTATTTGGGTCTACAAAATATAATTCCTATTCACAAAGTAGCCTTGATAGTAATGCTTCAAACTTTCCAATGATATAAGAGCATTTCTCTCGTAAATAACTTAGGAAGACTGTCAGAATCATGTAGAAGAATATGTAGCTTTTGAGTGATTATAAAGTTATTGGTATATAAAAGTAGGAGTAGATAAATAAGTCTTCTTAAATGATGAAATGGTGGACAGAGCAAATATGTTGGGTTTGCTAAATATCATGATATCCCAGCAAATAGAAAAGGTAGGAGGTTCTTATTTTATATTCTAGCTTGCCAATATCAAACATTTGAGTTTCTAATTCATACAAAATTATAGACATTGTATTGTGGGCATCATAAAATGTAATCTGACCAAACCCAGAAAACCACGTACCACATGATACATAAAAATCAGCATTTAGCCTTTTTTTTAAATATTTAGTTTCAAATTAAGAAACTAACTAACGTATAATACTAAATTTTGAATTATAATCTACAATTCGAAATCAAACTTATTGACATATGTTTATAAAATAACAGCTAAATAAAATGTTGAATGTAAATCTACAAATGTGATGACATGCCCTCTGACCCCTACCCATCTTGATAGGGTTAATACAGTTTTATCTGATTCTGAATCTAATATCAATAGAAATGATGATAGGGGTTGTTTTCAACCTGAAATGTCTGGTGAACCACAACTTTTCACACAAAGTGAATTTAATGATTTGGGCCTTTCAAAGGATTCTTCAGAGATTTTGAGGTCCAGACTTCATGCTAAGAACTTACTTTCAACAGGGATATAATTTTACTGGTACAGAAATCTTGAGAAAGAGTTTATACCATTCTTTCTGCAAGAAGGTTCACTGGTTTATTGAACAATATTGCTGAATTAATACCAATGCTGGAGCTGCAGTCTATGAACCAAGTTAGTGGTGATTGTTCATTGATTCCTCCAAAAGATGTCTAAAAGGTGTTCTCCTTCAGAATGGTAACATATATGCATCTGTTCCTATTGCTCATTCAGTTCACTTCTTCTTAATAAGGTCAAATAAAAAGAACATGGTTGGCTACTTTGTGGAGACTTAAAAGTCCTTTGTATGTTGTTAGGCCAACAATTAAGTTATACAAAGTTTCAATGTTTTTGGTGTGAATGGGATAGGAGAGCATGAAATCAGCCTTATACCAGGATTGAAAAACATTGAAAGTGAAAGTTTGGTTGACACAAAGAAAGTTCTATTACCTTCACTTCACATTAAACTGGGCTTGATGAAGAAGTTTGCACAGGCCTGAGACAAACATGATAACTGTTTCAAATAACTATGTGGGTAATTCCCAGCTCTTTCAGAAGTGAAACTTAAAGAATGGATTTTTGTTGGGCCACAGATTAGGAAATTGACTTTGGATGAACATTTTGAAAGGACAATGAGGAAAGTTGGAAAATGTTATTGACAAATATTTAGGAAACAACAAAGAACCAAATTACAAAACATATTGTCAATAACATGCTCAATAAATTAAAAAAGTTGGGTTGTAATATGAGCTTGTAAGTTCATTTCTTACACTAACATATTGACTATTTTCCTGAAAATCATGGTGCTGTTAGGGTAAAAACAAAGGAAAAGGTTTCATCAATACATCAGGGAAATGGAGAGGAGGTATTAGGGAAGGTGGAACATCAGCATGATGGCTGATTACTGCTGGTCATTGAAATGAGATGCTTCAGATGCAATACATAAAAGAAAGACCACAACATGCAGTTTTGAGACTAAAAGACGTAGATTTCACACAAAAAAATCAGGATGAATTAGGATGCATATTTGCTTGACATCAATATTCTTCCCTTTTCTACTGTTTGTTTGTATTTTTGTTAACAAACATAATAATAATAAAAAAATGTTCATTGTGGTAAACAAAATAATGATTTGATCTAAGTAAGTTTTTTTTGTTCTCGATTTGTAAAAAATCCTTCAGTGATAGAAAAAAATTAATATTATTTTTGAAATCTGCATAACTGAATTATGGAATATCAGTTATTAAAACCAAAACAACTTTTATGAAGTTTAAATTCAAAGGCCTGTGTAATTAAACAGCTGAATTTTTTATTCTGGAATGTCCAAGTATGTTGTACAATACTTGGCTGATGGCTGAAACAGATAAATAACACTACACAAGCTGTTTAATCTAAGTAAATTATATCCAGGTTAAATCTGATGTTTCATATTCATATGCTCTACTATTGTTAGCATGTTACTCAACAAAAAAAACAAACAAATTGGAATAACATATTTCATTTTTTCCTTACCTGTCCTTGTTTTCTCTCAGTCACCTGTATTTCTACATTTGAAGAGCAGGGTTTAACTTCATTCAGAGCAGTTGAAGTACTTGGTGTTTCATCATGTATTTTTTTCAAACTTGTTTTGTTTTCTACAGTTAATAAAATACTTTAATCATATGAAAAATATATTTGTCATACTTTATTGGATGTCACTCCAGGAACCAATGAAGTATCACAACAGCCACAAAAAAAGATATGTAATAAATTATAAAAGCTAATATAAATTAAAATATTGAAATTTCTTATTAAAAATATGAGTATGAATATACGATAAAAATGCTTAATTTGCTGTTATTGATTTTCTGAATTAGAACTGTTATAGAGTAGCACACCATCTTACACAATTTTGACATTATTGGAATTCAAACTGATCTTGACTCATATCCTCTCAAATTAAGCAAAAGCTGTAATCAACTAAATCATGAGGTCTTGAATGTTGGAAGCACCAGTTTGGTTAAATAAAAACTATGTTTTTGACCAATTTCTCAAGTGTTTAAAAACCTTCTCAGTTTGAAGTATGCATAGTCACATGTTAAAACATTTAACTCATTTTGACAGTTTGGAAAATTTGTGAATATAATTCTCCACTAACTTGGATTTTTAATAATGTAAGCCTACAAAACAAATTTAAAATCTTTAGTATATTAAATTTTCACTTAAAAGCAGACCTGCCTACTCCAAATTTTCATAATTTCAGCAAAACATGATGCTTCGACCAAGTTAGAAAATTATGTAAGGTATATTGACCTTATATCTGTAGAAATGATATAATAACCAATGGATGTGTTCTTATCTGCCAATTTCTGCAGATCAGCACAGAATACTGTTGTTCTACAGTTGTAGATGAAGGCAAATCACTGCTGAAACATCTACCTTGATTAATATTCAACCTCTTCATCATTCCTCACAGCAGTTGTGCATATCGTGAGAGGGTGTTAAGCTTTGCTTGGAAAACCAAAATGGAACAAGGGACAAGTAAGGGTGACTACTCTTCATGCTCTACTTGTTGTGAATACAAATTCCATCCAAGTTGCAACCAAGGACAATTTGGATGGCATGCTTTATTGGCTTAAAACCTTTATTACTTTAAATAAAATAATTTTGTGAATAAAAAGAAATAATAATAATAAGTTAATTATTGTTATTATTATTTAGGATGTGTGTGTGCTCCTGAAAAAGTTCTGTGCTCGTGAAAATAAAAGTAAATTCTCTCAGAGTCAATTCTGAGGGGTAGGCAGGTTTGTGTAAGAAATGAGACTTAAATGGATAAAGACTCTTGATATGAAATTGTTTTATCAACAATCTTATTTAACTCTTTCACTGTGCAATTAATTTTCAGGCAGATTCCCAAAAAGTGTCAATTATCCACATAGAAATGGCTTATATTGGTGAATTTCAAAGTCTCTATTACATATTGGCATGTAAGAAGATATATATACTATAATTCCTGAAAGTCACTGATAAGTAACTCACCTATAAAGCAATAAAATCAGCTCCAAAACAAGGAGAGTTAAAGTGTGCATCACCAAGTGACATATTATATGCATATAAAATGAGGCATATAAACATCCAAGTTTCACAGCATACAAAACAGATGGCAACATACACACAAGTTTGGTGATTGTTTGAAGTACAGGGGGATATTCCTGCATATTGCAGCAGAAGGAAACTTTTTTGGTAGCCATGGGGTAAATCAGAATTTTGCAGCCAGTAGGTACATATGTTTATTTAGATATATCCAAACTATGCAGCAAAAGGAATAAGGTAACTAGAAATTAAAAATTCTAATGTTATACATGCAAATGTTTTTTTGTTTAATTTTATAAAATACATATAACAATAATTGAATAAACTAATATAAAAGCTGAAATATTTTTACCGTTCATTGCTTTCATTGATAAATTGTGACCCCTGACTTCAGTCATTGCTGGAGACTCCAGAATATTAAATAATGAAAATTTATCATGTTTGACTTTCGATGATCCCACTATGGTACAGCTGGAAAGTGACCAAGTTAGTATCAATTTTAATAAGTAAACAGAAAAAAAACAGCAATAAAAGAATCACTGAACATTCTGTTTGCTTTTTTTAAGTGAGTTTTAAACATTAATTTGATTGTACTAGTTAATGGTTTGTTCTTTTCCACCTAATCTTGTTTATAAAATTAAGATGTCTGGTAAATGTATGCTGCAGATTTGCAAAATTAAAATTTTTTTTGTTATTTCTATCTGTAAGAAATACTTTTCAACTACAAGAAATGCACTTTCTGTGGTTTTAGTGTTGGCAGATCCACACACACTAGATAATTTCAAACTTAAAAGAAAGGCCAGTATATGTAGAACTCTTACTTATTACAACTGAAAAACAAGTTACAACTTAGAAAATGTAACATTCACTTTAAAAAGCACACATTATAAATTACAGAATATCTCCCACTCAATTCAAATCAGAAGTTAATGTGTGAATCAGTTGATGAGACATTAGTTACAGAAACACAGTGTGACCTACTGTGATTTCTTTGGAAAGGAATTATTTGTTTCGTATTTGCCAAAAATTAATCATAATTGTAACTGAAAGCTACAATTATCACTGTGAATGAAAGAGATCCTATCAGAAGGACATTATTACAGAAAATTTAAGTGAATGATTTGAATGTTTTGAACTGGAATTCTTTGTTTAAAATTTACCTGAAGATAAGTTTCAAACTGTTATTGGTATATCCATTTACAAGTGAAAGAGACCATGCTCATTCATCATTAAAATCTGAATATAATGTAAATAAGTCAGCAGAACATTTTATGGTATATAAAAAATGTGAGTTCAATGGGTAGCATTAAGAGTTAAAGCATATCAATATGCATATCCAATTTTTTTAAACACTTGAGCAAGTGTTTAAAGGAATTTCCATACAATATTTTTTTGTTCCCAAACACAAAATATAATAACTATTTGCAAGTTGATATAAAGATTTGCATTATAATTAAAAAGAAATAAATGTCTGAATAGCAACAAATGTGTTACTACGAGGCCATCATGCTTGTAAATTAATTACCAACCGTAATTAATATCTAACAGATGCTGAAACTTATGAGTATTCTTGTTCCACTATTTGAAAACAAGTAGTAATAATAAAAAGAATGTCTACATCTGAAATTGGTAGGGATAATGAATTTGATATCAACACTTAAAGTTTGTTTGTTTGTTTTGAATTTCGTGCAAAGCTACACAAGGGCTATCTGTGCTAGCCATCCCTAATTTAGCAGCGTAAAACTAGAGGGAAGGCAGCTAGTCATCACTGCCCACCGCCAACTCTTGGGCTACTCTTTTACCAATAAATAGTGGGAGTGACCATCACATTATAATGCCTCATGGCAGAAAGAGCAAGCATGTTTGGTGGGATGGGGATTTGAACTTTGAACCCCCGACCCTCAGATTGTGAGTCGACCGCCCTAACCACCTGACCATGCCAGGTCCAACACTGAAAGTACACTGCAAGGATACCAATGGAAACCTGAATATACTAAAGACAAAATATTACAAAACAACAATGCAAAAATACTGTTTGGCAATGTAAATGCATGCTGTTCTAATCATAACTGGTGCAAATACAATTACTATTAAATTCTTCTATAAACAAAAGTGTAAACATTGTAGAAAGTTTGAGTTATATTACAGAAATTAACTACCATTTTCAGATTTGGGGATAAAATGTTATTTAAGTAACTAACTAATGTAATAATATTACTTTTGTAAATAACAGGGTATTATAATGTGTTACATTTTTAATGGGAGTAATAATATTACAGTTACTTTCAACAACAACAAAAATAATGAGTTTGTCTTCTTATCTTCTCCCTTCTGTAACATACTTTGGTTTTAAAAGAAGAAAAAGCACTAACGTAAGTTTCAGTTTCTAAATTCTAAGCAAATAAAAAATCAAACCGATGTGTTATATATGACCTTCCTTTTACTAACTGCCATGACCAATTTAGGTAAGCAGCTAACAAAATGGCTTTCATACAAGCTTTATCAGCACTGAGGTTTTAGTTTTGTTTTTATCTGCTGCATAGATGCGCAGTATGCAGAAATATTAAACAGTTGCATGAACAGCATTAAAAGGCAAAGCATCGATACCAGCTAGTAAACAGCCTTTGCTTTAGTAACCATGTTAAACTATAAAAGATCTGTGATGAAATAATTCAAAAAACACATTAAATAAATTAATTTCCAGTTACTTAATTAAAAAATTATGGAATAATGAGAATAATATTTTTGCTGGACAAGACAAGATAAAGCATGTTTGTTTTTGAGCAAAGCCACACTGAGCAATCTGCTGTGTCCACCACATGGAATCAAAACCTGGATTTTAGCCTTGTAAGTCCATAATCTTTCTGCTGTAAAACCAGTGGATGACAAGAGAAAAAATATATAAAGACTAAACATGTAATAAATAACACAGCATGCTACTTTTTTATTAACTAATATGTGAAAGATAGCATACTACTTTTTTCTGACAAAACAAGTAACAAGTTATTTTATACATAAAGAGTATCTTACAAGAGATGCAATATCTACTGATCTCTGTCTTGTATGTCAAAAATTCTAATTTCTTTTCAGAGATTAGAGGTTATCTCAGGTTTAGTTTCCTAATTATATATTAAGAAATAATGTGTTTGTCAAGCATGAATCAACATCACACTATCATAAAATGACCAAGATTGAAACTTTACCACATTATAACAATACTGAGGAAGATAGTGTTGGGAGTATCATCTATGTTATTTTAGCTGTTGAACTTTAAAGGGAATAACTCTCAGCTGTTAAGAAACAATGTATAGGACACAAAACTTGTATAGCTTTGGATGGAATAACTCCAAGTTGTTAAGGAATAATGTATAGGACATAAAACCCATATAACTATGGTAGAAGTAACTCTCAGCTGTTAAGGAACAACGTATAGGACGTAAATCTGTGTAACTATGGAGGGAGTAACTCTCAGCTGTAAAGGAACAATGTATAGGACATAACACCCATGCAACTATGGAGGGAATAACTCTCAGCTGTTAAGGAACAACATATAGGACATAAACCTGTGTAACTACAGAGGGAATAACTCTCAGCTGTTAAGGAACAACATATAGGACATGAACCTGTGTAACTATGGAGGAAATAACTCTCAGCTGTTAAGGAACAACATATAGGACATAAAACCCACGTAACTATAGAGGGAATAATTCTTAGCTGTTATTTTAAGGAACAATGTATAGGATATAAAATCCATGTAACTATGGAGGAAGTAACTCTTAGCTGTTCAAGAACAAGGGATAAAACATAAAACCCATATAACTATGGAGTGAATAACTTTCAGTTGTCAAGAAACAATGTATAGGACATAAAACCAATGTAACTATGGAAGAAGTAACTCTCAGCTGTTAAGGAACAATGTATAGGACATAAACCTGTGTAACTATGGAGGGAGTAACTATCAGTTGTTAAGGAACAATGTACAGAACATAAAACTTGTGTAACTATGGAGGGAGTAGCTCTCAGCTGTTAACCCTATCGGCACGGGTACCCTTTACTGCGCATGACACAAGGTTTTAGTGTCTTACATTCAAAATGTTATTAAACTACTTTTTGTTTATGTTAAACCCATTAGAATAGTATAAAATCATAGCTAATAATCCATATTTTAGTAGTATACAAGTTTTAAGTTCTTCATTCTAAAAGAAACTACATAAAAAATCCTGAATTTCAACTAGTGTAACACACACACATGACAAATTTTATCTTAGCATGTAATCACCCACATTTTATCCATCACCCCTCGAAAATGTAAGAAATTAAACATAAAATGCTCTCTATAAAATCATTATTGCTCAAACAG